AGTAATATTAGCCGTTTTCTTGGTTTTATATTTAACTGTAATAGTAATATTAACTGTTTCCTTCATTTTTATACATAACTGAATGGTAATATTAACAGTTTTCTTGATTTTATATTTAACTGTAATAGTAATATTAGCCGTTTTCTTGGTTTTATATTTAACTGTAATAGTAATATTAACTGTTTCCTTCATTTTATACATAACTGAATGGTAATATTAACAGTTTTCTTGATTTTATATTTAACTGTAATAGTAATATTAGCCGTTTTCTTGGTTTTATATTTAACTGTAATAGTAATATTAACTGTTTCCTTCATTTTATACATAACTGAATGGTAATATTAATAGTTTTCTTGATTTTATATTTAACTGTAATAGTAATATTAGCCGTTTTCTTGGTTTTATATTTAACTGTAATAGTAATATTAACTGTTTCCTTCATTTTATACATAACTGAATGGTAATATTAACAGTTTTCTTGATTTTATATTTAACTGTAATAGTAATATTAGCCGTTTTCATGGTTTTATATTTAACTGTAATAGTAATATTAACTGTTTCCTTCATTTTATACATAACTGAATGGTAATATTAACAATTTTCTTGATTTTATATCTTACTGAATGGTAATATCATCAGTTTTCTTGGTTTTATATTTAACTGTAATGGTAATATTAACAGCTGCCTTGATTTTATATATTATATATTTTACTATATTATATCTAACTTAATTGTAATATGAGCCAATTCTGCTTCTGGCCGAATTTTTAAAACTTCTTTCTCTTAAAATATTTTTGAGGAGAAATAGTTTTCTCATGTCCTGTAGCTGTTATTGATCTTTCCAGTATTAATAGGGGTTTCTTTTCTTGCCTTTTTACTTGAGGTAGTGTGGAACACTAGCACCATGATTATGTCATTACTCTCTCTTCGTGTTGAATGTGCTATCCTTTTTAGTTGTTTCTGTTGTTGAAAGTCTTCAAGTGATTTGGTTTCTGTTATCTGTTGCAGTTCTTTATTGCTGTTTTATAATTTGCAATAATTTCTGTGAAGATTCTTTTTTGGCTGAGGCAGTTGCGTGGCAATTTCCAGCTCCCAAAATCTATTTCACCCCGGTGTAACCAAAGGCACTTAAATAATAAGGTAATCAGAGACTCTTCGCTAACAACTGAATTGTGGCGAACACCCCATGTCAACAAACAATATTTTCTGTGAGCTGATAGCTTTTCAACTAAGATAGACTATAAAGCAACGGAAACGCAACTCCCGTGAAAGACGAATTCAAAGTTGTGTGATGTGCGTAGAAAAACGAAGTAATCTGTTTATTTTTGATTTCGCAATGTGCGTTCTAGCGATTAATAAGTTCAACAACTCGGAATGTTGTGATAAATGTTAATAATAAGATAGAGTAAAAATAGTAATAAAATAATAATAATAATATTAATAGCAAAGAAACGGCGACTTACCTCGTCAAACCAAGCGACAGCGCGTCGCGTGTATCCTACGACGGAAAATGTGGCGAAAAAGAAAATTACTTACCAAAAAAAAAAGTGGGGGGGACGTATTCCGCATGACATGCTGAAGACGGAATATTTAAAAAAAAAAAAAAAAAAAAAAAAAAAAAAGAAACAAGTCCGTCACAGGAATTGATATAAAAGTATTTTGATATGCAAAAATTGAAGGTCGTCTCCCAGCTGTCGACGAATGGAAAAAAATTCTCGGCCGATAAAAGCAGTTGGTGTTCTCGAATCGGGGAGTGGGCAATTTTTGTCCCCTTGCCCAAGTGTACACGCTCGGATCCCCACTTTAAAAAGACCTTGTGTCACATCTCATTCTGGTGGGGGAATGAGTAAACACCGTGGGGTATTTTTTGGCTACCGCGTTTATTGGAGAGTGAATTATTTTTCTGACTGGTTGCGTGCATAGTGAATTGTGAGGTAGTACCTTTTTCGACATTTCTTTCCGCCCCCGATGTTCGAGTCTGAACTTTAATTTATTCTCTGCGTTCAGGAAATAATCTGCGACGAACAGATACACACACACACACACACACAACTTGGGTTTTATAAGTATGATTATTAATAAAATGGAATTAAATTAATAATAATAATAATAATAATAATGAAGAGCGATACGCTCTTCCTTATTATCCGTAGTATCGTGAAAGAAAGCAGCAATAATAAGATGGAGTGAAACTATTACTACTACTACTACTACTACTACTAATAATAATAGTAGTAATAATAATAATAATAATAATAGTAGTAGTAGTAATAATAATAATAATAATAGTAGTAGTAGTAATAATAATAATAATAATAGTAGTAATAATAATAATAATAATAATACTAATAATAGTAGTAGTAGTAATAATAATAATAATAATAATAATAATAATGACGGGCGTATCGGCCCAGTGAACTGTGAAATAAATTTTCTGACAGATTCGCAAATATGGCAAAAATCAACTATTTTTAGCGATTAAAAAAATAATTCCAATCAAGATTCATTTTTAACCGTAGGTATCACATTTCTTTGGAGCTATATAATCCTTACTGACGTTTTTTCTTAATCTAACGCGCGATTAAAAAAAAAAACAAAAAGAAAACGGTTGCCCGGTGATTGATCAGCACAAACAAAAGCTGTTAATTTTCATAAGTAATCATATGACCAAAATTGCCAGTTTTTAATTAAAATAATAATATTGCATACATTAATTTTTGGAATTAAAAATAAGAAGGAATAACAGCGGGGATGTAGTTATAACACTGTTTTTTTATTTTATAATATTAATTATTTTAAATAATTAAATTTTTAATTTTTTTCTTAATTAGTTTTAATACGAAAAAAATATGCCAATTAAGAAGAAATATTCTAATTTTTTTTAATGTATTGGGACTCAAAATTACGTCTCCGTTCAACAAAAGCAAAATAAATATAACAGCTGTCCTCCACTTTTCTGATCTGGTCTCAGGCGTCTGTTCAATGTTTATATGTTTGTTTGTTTGTTTATGAAGGGGTCAGTGATTTTGAAACAATTGCTAAAGGCAAGGGAAATCGAGTTTCACAGTTTAATGGTCACGTTTCTTAAACGAAAGCATTTCCAGATTCACGTTGTGTAGAGCGTGCAGCAGCTGACGGCATATATTTTGGCAAAATTTCTGAAATGTGGATTATTTGGAGGAGAAAGACATTCTAGCAACCTGTTGCTTTCAAGAATTTCGTTTGGTGGCCTTGTACGATTTTTTTTTTTTTTACACCACCTCACATTCTACATTGTTCCATTCTACAGAATAAGATGGCGGGGGAGATAGATAGATAGATAGATAGATAGATAGATAGATAGATAGATAGATAGATAGATAGATAGATATAAAAAGACGGAGATAGATAGATAGATATAAAAAGGCGAAGATAGATAGATAGATAGATAGATAGATAGATAGATAGATAGATAGATAGATAGATAGATATAAAAAGACGGAGATAGATAGATAGATAGATATAAAAAGGCGAAGATAGATAGATAGATAGATAGATAGATAGATAGATAGATAGATAGATAGATATGAAAAGACATAGATAGATAGATAGATAGATAGATAGATAGATAGATAGATAGATAGATAGATAGATATGAAAAGACAAAGATAGATAGATAGATAGATAGATAGATAGATAGATAGATAGATAGATAGATATAAAAAGACGAAGATAGATAGATATAAAAAGGCGGAGATAGATAGATAGATAGATAGATAGATAGATAGATAGATAGATATAAAAAGACATAGATAGATAGATAGATAGATAGATAGATATGAAAAGACAAAGATAGATAGATAGATAGATATGTAAAGTCGGAGACAGACAGATAGACGGACAGACAGACAGATAGATATGAAAAGACTGAAATAGAATGTTTTTTACGGCATGCCAACGTTTTGCAGTTTATTTTTAGCCAGGTCATTCTTTTTTTCAGATTGTCACAATATTGTAAAGATAATAATGACTTAGTGATAAAATTCCTTCTAATGAATCAATAGCTGATGGGGGCGAGGGAGAAGTGGATTCAAGCCTTTCCTAATGGTATTTGCGCTTAAATGAATATAACGAAGCCAACTGGAATTTAAACTTGCTTCACTGAATTACAATTTCTAGACATCCATTTCACTACCCACACATTCAAGCCGACAGCAACTGGTATTCACATATGGTCACCCATCTAAATACTGACAGCTTCGACATTGCTTAACTTCGGTAATCGCATAAGAAATGGTGTTTCAACGTCATGTGGTCGTAATCTGACTGAAACAGATAGATAGATAGATAGATAGATAGATAGATAGATAGATAGATAGATAGATATGTAAAGTCGGGGATAGATAGATAGATAGATAGATAGATAGATAGATAGATAGATAGATATGTAAAGACAGAAATAGATAGATAGAAAGATAGATATCAAAAGCGTGAGATAGATAGATAGATAGATAGATAGATAGATAGATAGATAGATAGATAGATAGATAGATATGTAAAGACGGAGATAGATAGATAGATAGATAGATAGATAGATAGATATCAAAAGCGTGAGATAAGATAGATAGATAGATAGATAGATAGATAGATAGATAGATAGATAGATAGATAGATATGTAAAGACGGAGATAGATAGATAGATAGATAGATAGATAGATAGATAGATAGATAGATATGTAAAGACAGAAATAGATAGATAGAAAGATAGATATCAAAAGCGTAAGATAGATAGATAGATAGATAAATAGATAGATAGATAGATAGATAGATAGATATGTAAAGACGGAGATAGATAGATAGATAGATAGATAGATAGATAGATAGATAGATAGATAGATATCAAAAGCGTGAGATAGATAGATAGATAGATAGATAGATAGATAGATAGATAGATAGATAGATATCAAAAGCGTGAGATAGATAGATAGATAGATAGATAGATAGATAGATAGATAGATAGATCAAGATGAGATAGAAATAGATAGATGAGATAGATAGATAGATAGATAGATAGATAGATAGATAGATAGATAGATAGATAGATCTGAATAGACTTCAGATTTCATTATGCCAACCAATGTTTTCCCAATATAATTAGCATATAAATGGATGATTCTGCTATTGCATTATTATTTACAATTTTTATTCGGTCGAGCAAGCTTGGATATTCATGAGTCTATCACGCCAAACATCACGGTCCTGCATCAAGGTCGAAATGTCATTAGAATGGCATTCTCTGTCCTAACCTAGCTGGTCAATGTAGATGGTTGCTGGGGCACCAACCCGTCTTGCTCCATGGCTAGGTGTCCAGAGCAGTAGATCCCTCGTAAAATCTTGTTTTGCTCCCCAGTAATGTCCTGCAAAGCGCATTCTGAGTTCGAGTAAGTTTGTAGAAATATCAAGGATGGGTCCATAGCTCTGAGATTTAGTTTTCTTTTCTCCAAGAGATATTAAGGATAACTCTCAGCACCCGAGTGTACATTCCAGCAAGCTTTGATTCAACGGTTTTAGTTAATGTTCAAGCAGTGGTACCAGGAATTAAAACCGACTCTAAAGTGGCGCAAAAGAAGCTCCGCTTGAGGTTGTTTGGTGGATCAGTTTTCTAGATTACTTTCATTTTATTCAAGATAGGTTTTCTTGATTTTCACTTTCGAAATATCACCAGAAATAAACAATTTCTAAGCGTCACTTAATAAAAGTTCCAAAAATAAGAGTTGGTAGACCAAAAGGAAGTCTTAAGGTTGTTCCTGTAAGGGAAAGAAACGGCGTGCTGCCTCGGTTCCGACGGAGAGGGCTTTTATCTTTTGTTGTTTTTTTAACCCGTAACCTTTTAGGCTCGTAGGGGAACACCACATGTACTGCCGTAGCAATAACAGCGGTGTTTCCTTGGAAAAAATAGCCTGACGGGACCCAACCCTCTCCAGGCTGGCTTTGAATTCAGAGTTGTCCTTCTCCTAGACCGGCTGTCGCCCAAGGCTACAAGACCCATTTGTTTGTGCTATTTACCCGTAGCTGGGGAACAATTTATTTTCTCCCAATCACGTAATTGAAATCAATGACTAGACTGGAGTTCGAACTCAGATCTCCGAGTTGCTTATTTATTACTCCACCATGCCTCCCGCGAGAGGCACATTTTCTTTAATAAGACTTTTTGATGATCTAGGTCGGTAGACGTTAATTTCACTGTTTATAAACAAACAGCGAATGTCGGCCCAAACTTGTATACCTACTAAAATAACGTTTATATTAATAAGATGTGTGTGCACGAGCTTGCGCGCGCGTGTGTGTTTGCAATGGTTTCAACATGGTCAGAAGAACGCCTTCGCTTCATCGATCACTTTATGACAGTGCACACGTGACACTTCAACCCAGCCACTGTCTTGCATGGTCGTTTTCAGATGTGTCACTTGAACTGTCCATTTGTCGAGATCAGCTGAAATACGTGCTTGCTCATTCTGAAATGTCTGGTCAAACCACCAACTGACTTACACACTAAGCCAACGTGTAGGAGAATTATATAAAACTACCTCGCAGATTGTCACATTCTTTCCTGGCCCATGCGACATTAGGTGGCTTGTCAAAACTGCTCTTGAGAGAATAAAGCGTTCTTACATATTTTACCTCTTTACACACATATCAAACATACATACATACATATATATCAAACGTGTATATATATATATATATATATATATATATAATAAATGCGAATGTCAGTGTGTCACTGTGTCACACTTTTCAACTTTACTCCTAGAAGCTGTAGTCCAACATAGCATACCATTTTGGAATCAGGCTGAATCCGTAAGCAAATTAAAAACATTCTGGACTGGATCCGGACCCGCAATCCTGAAATTTTGGATTCCCAAGTTTTCATTACTCCGCTTGTTTTCGGATTCCGCCATATTGGCTTCTACAGATAAAAACAATTAAAGGGACACAACTCTAACTTTCAATAAGCTCATGTTCAAATTAAAAAAAAAAATGACTGTTCTTGTCCGTGTTTTCAACTTTACACCTAGAGGTCGTAGCCCAACATATCATACCGTTTTGGAATCAGGCTAACTCCGTGAGCAAATTTAAAACTTACTGGACCAGATCCGGACCCGCAATCCGGAACTTTAGAATCCACAATTTTCATTACTGCTTTGGTTTTCGGCAATTTTTCTTTTCTTTTTTTTTTTTTTTTTTTTTTTTGTATGATAACAATTTTTAAGAATAACTTGAAAATAAATTTTGGAATAATCGAAATTAATTGCGAACTCCAGCGAATGTCACCCATCAAATAAAAATAATTGTTTTTACAGAAAGTAAGGACCTACGTACATCAAACTGTCTTTAAATTAAATGGCGGCGGAAGAATTATCGTTGAACTGTTAAAAGGTAAGCTTAAATATTAATGCAGTACTTAAATGTAGTGATCAATTCTGAGTTCTTCTGTAGTTTATTGTTGCCTAGCGCATCTACTCCTCTCTCCCTATTGTGGTGAAGGCCCAATTAAGAACCGTTTGCAGGGCGTCTTTTAAGCTAGTATATATATATGTGTGTGTGTGTGTGTGTGTGTGTGTGTGTGTGTGTGTGTGTGTGTGTGTGTGTGCGTTTGATCTAAAACCATCTAAGTTGCTTGTTTACTTTTTCAATATTTCTAAAATCATTTCTGATTTCTGGTTCGTATTTGTATATATACCTTCACGTGTCTAGGCAGTTCCGGCTAACACTGGCCAATTTCAAAACTTTTTTTGTTATTTATTATGTTGTCACTTTAACTTTTTTTGTTAATATCGCGTAAAACAGATGCCATGGACTCCCATGTAGATAGGCCAAAAGCATGAAAAAGAACAACACGTGAAACGACCACGCCTACAAAGAGGGACGCTGGTTTGAACATTGTTGGAAGGCACATTTTTATTACGTCTCTTCAGTGCGTAGGCAAGTAGACGTAATTCACACTATCTACAAAAAACAAGACGTCTACTCAAACATGGGTATCCGCAAAATAACGTTTGGAAACTAGGAAATAATGTCGCATAAAAAATAGATCATTTACTTAGAAATATATATATATATATATATATATATATATATATATATATATATATACATATAGCGTCCAAAACTAAGGGACAAAATTTTAAAACCTAATATTTGTTAGAAATAACAACTGTGAAAAGCTGAAATTTTGACAACTGGTAGTCGTTATCATCCATAATAACATACTAAAATTTGAATCATTTGCAAAGGATAGAAAAAGAATTATAACAATCATTTATTTATTTTCAAATTTGGAACGTCCAAAAGTAAGGGACAAAATTGAGAAAAACAATGTAAACAGTATGCTATATATATATATATATATATATATATATAAACAAATGAGAGAAAAAACAGATGTAGTAATTGCCACTGTTCGTAACATTTATTTTTAAAAATATAATCATAGTTTGAAACATGAAAACTTTTGTGTAGCGAATTCAAAATGTTTATATTATAAACTCTTATGATAAAAATTTAATATATATATATATTATAATTATAATTTTTTTTAAATTATTTTCGCTTGAGGATGAAACACGGCTTTTGGCTCTTGTTTTTGAAACATGAGAACTCTTATGTAGCGATGGAATCATATTTAAAAATATATATATAATTTAGGGTCTACTCATGTATTGAGCACTGTTTTTTAAAAATAAAACAAAAATACTAAAGAATTTCGGATTATTAACCAAACGGTTTCCTATAACACACACACACACACATATATATATATATATATATATATATATATATATATATATATATATTTGTTTATACAGAAGTTTTTCGTTAAAATGACTTTCATTACAGATGATAAATGCATGCCTTTATTATTAAAAATTCCGTTAACTTTTCTTGTTTACGTCTAAAGTCCACATGTGTGAATTCAAAAATACTAAAAAAAAAAAACAACTACAAAGAAATCATATCAATAATGTAGGAAAAACTCCAAATTTGAAAAAAATACATTCAAACTTGATAGACACGTTGTATGCGCTTGGTTTTCAGTAAAAGAAAGAAAGAAAGAAAGAAAGAAAGAAAGAAAGAAAGAAAGAAAGAGAGAAAGAAAGAAAGAAGATAATAAATGAAATAAAAGTAGGAACAGAGAAAAACTGAAAAAGAAAAAACGACAGAAAGAAAGAAAGCATAAAGAAGAACAAATGAAATAAAAAAATGGACAGACGAAAGGTGAAAAAGAAAGAAATACGACTACATTAGAAAGAAAGAAAGAAAGAAAGAAAGAAAGAAAGAAAAAAGAAAGAAAAAAGAAAGAAAGAAAGAAAGAAAGAATGGGAACAGATTAAAAGAGCAATAGAAAGAAAGAAAGAAAGAAAGAAAGAAAAAGAAAGAAAAACAACTAAAATAAAATGCGAACCAGAGTAAAAGGATAACAGAAAAAGAAAGAAATGAAAAACGAAAGAAGGAAATATAGAGAGAAAATGAATTAAAGAGAGAAAATAAGAAAACTCATGCTACAATTAAGATGGAAAAACGTGCACTTGCTAAACGACATATAGCCGAAATTTGCATAAGATGAATATCTTACATAATTTAACCAATAAAATTTCCAAATGATATATTACTTTATGCATTTTATCATTCTTTTATTTAGTAAATAAATATAAAAGTTACACAGTTTTGCAATTGATAATGCAAATTTTGACTAACCAGTATCATATATATATATATATATATATATATATATATATATATATATATATATATATATATATATAATTATTACTGCTAATAAGGGATTTTTGACACTATGGAAACGCATTTGCTGACACAAACCTAGTTAAAGCTATAGGAAAAAAAAAAAAAAACACTAACCTGAATCAATAAAACCAATGTTTTGATATATATATATATAATTTTTTTTTTTTAACATACAACGTGTGTTAGCACGTGCGATATCCTGTCTTCATCAGACGCCGACCAGGGGTGATATCACGGTTTCGGTGACTATGGCGGGACTGCCACCCCTGGCGCCACCAGCAGCGTTTGCCACCAGGTAGGGTATGAAGATAAGCTAATTAATCGTTCCTTTAAGTAAATTCTATCTGCAATGAAAGTTTCCTGAACGCCTTTGCCGTTATTGATGCGCTCGTAAAAATCGTTATAGACGACCACGCAAATATCCCACTTGCGCATGTTAGGTCGTGATGTTGCGCGCATTTTATTTGCTTGTTTTGATCTCGACCAAATCCAACTTGACGCGTGTTGAATACGCGTGTATATATATATATATATACGCGTGTAAATATATATATATATATATATATATATATATACGAATGTAATGAGAACAAAATTAATATATAAATTCTAACACTCACGGCATTAATTCAAAAGAGGGCTCAATACCAATAGTAAAGCAATAATTATTTATTAGAATTTTTCATATACACAAAAACAATTTACTCACTACAAAGATGCAATTTCGCTTCGGGAAATTTAGCTGCACGAAGATAACCATTTTGGTTTTCACCAGTCGAGGTGCAACTAAATGCACCGAAACGAAGTTGCATCTTCGTAGTGAGTAAATTGTTTTTATCTATATGAAAAAATTATAACATAATTTTAAAAAGTTACTCCAAAATTCGCTTGAGGATAAAATGGAACTAATGTCTTTAATTTAATCACAAAATTAAATTCGTGGCTTTTAGCTTCCATTTTTGAAACATGGTTAGAACTGTGTAGCGAAAAAAAAACATATTTTAAATCAATTAATTTATAATATTAATGCTCTGTAAATTTACATTGAGCACTATTTTGTAAAAATAAAAATATCTATAAGAACACCGGATTATATATCTTGCTGTTCTTTCTTTTATTTATTATATATATATATATATATATATATATATATATATATATATATATATATATATATATATATATTACATCCGTTTGGTATCTGTTGGATGTTAATTCGCTGCTTCTGATACCGATGACTAATTTTTCGCCAATTGTACAACACGAAAAATTGTAACTTCTATTATTGCTCGCTAAATAGTCATAGGAAAGTAAAATCCCACAAACCAGCATCCCCACTAAAACCTTTGAAATTTCTACATCTATTTATCACATTTCCAAAACAATTAGCCAGATCATTAAAACATACCTACCTGCTAAATACTATATATATATATATATGTATATGTGTGTGTATTAGCAAGTGCAAATAAACTTACAGATATCAAAGAAGAACTATCCAGTGGCAGATGAATTGTTTATGAATAGGAGTTACCTGACAGGTGATATAGATTCTCGGCTGAAGTCTACGGAAATGGTTTTTTTTTGGCTTTTTAATCTCACCGACAGAAACATCTTACTTGTTTTCGACAATAGCCTCTAAATTCCTGAAAGTTATTGCCAACATGAATGGGTGTTTGTTAATAGCGATGCACCCACAAAATATGCAGCGAAACGTGAGCGCTGCCAGCTATGGGAGTATCAGAAACAGTTATTTGTCCACCGCTCACCCACCCACTCTGATGACAGTACTGCATACCAACTGAAAGCTATGCTTTTGTGTATATTCGTGGGAGTTTCGCTGTCGATCTTTGCGAGGCTTACCACAACTTGTCATCAGGCCGCAATGCTGGAACATTAAACAAGAACCGAACAGCCTAAACCGGGTTTCGCTCGATAGCAGTAAATCTGCGACGAGCTATAAAAAAAAAATAGATCTTTAAAAAAATCTACTGCAGATAGAAGCCAATGACGTTCGAAGGAATTCCTCTTTGCAAGAACTCAATACTCTGGGTGCCGCTTTACGAAAAGCGCCAAAGATACTTACTCAACGCTAGCGCGTAGTTTGAACTCACATCCCTAACTTTCGTACAACTGTATTACGTAACTAGTGACAAAATAATTATGACTTACTTTATTAAGAAAGAATTCTGATTTCCAAGAAGAGCCAACATTGCCTGCTTCAGAGGTTGGTGCGGCATAATCTTTTTAGTAACCTAGTACTGGCGATCGCTAAAGCGTGAAACCCAGGGTCACAAACTCACATTTATCCAACCAAATATATATATATATATATATATATATATATATATATATATATATATATATATATATAATATTTATATATATTTTATATTATTTATTATTTATATATTATTATATTATATATATAATTTATTTTTATATTATTTTTATATTTTATTTATACACACACACACAACACACACACACATATATATATATATATATATATATATATTATAATGTAATATTATTTTTTATATATTAACATATTATTTATATATTATTATATTATATATAATTTATTTTTATATTATTTTTATATTATATTACTCACATATACACAACACACACACACACACACATATATATATATATATATATATATATATATATATATATATATATATATATATATATATATATATATATATATATATATATATATATATAATATTATTTTTGGTTCCCAAATTTTGCCTGAGGATGAAACAGCGCTTGATACTTTAATTCAATTTAATTTTAATAATTATATTGGAGTTTTTGGCTCCTGTTTTTGAAACAGGAGAACTCTTATGTAGCGAAGGAATCATATTTTTAAAAAATAATTTTAATTTAGGCTCTGTTAACCTACACAGGCGAAATAATAATTATATTGTGTATGCAACAAAAATAATTTTGTAGGACTTGCTTTACAGTAATACTAAGAAAGAAAGAACGAACGAACGAAAGAAAGAAAGAAAGAAAGAAAGAAAGAAAGAAAGAAAGAAAGGAAATGAACAGACTCTGAGAGATTCGCAATTTTTTTATACACACATGATAACACACACAGATATACACGCAAACATCTACAAACACACATGTAAATAATCATTATTGATTTCTGTCAATCTCATTTTCAATCTCTCCATATATATATATATATATATATATATATATATATATATATATATATTAATAGGAATTAAAGGAAAAAAATCCTGGTACCCGGATTTTTACTGTCATATATTATAGCTCTGCCATTTCTTATGGCATCGAACATGTTTTTACCAGTAAGCAAATTTTGATCAGACTCTTTTTAGAGCTGCTCATCTTTTTCTAAAATTATATATATATCTATCTAACTATCTATCTATCTATCTATCTATATATATATATATATATATATATATATATTATCCCTCACGGGTAGCATGACTTAGTTTCATGTACAATGCAATCTTTAGATCCTGGGTAAGCTCTGACTTTTACATAATTTAAATTTTAATAAAAAATATCTGGTTAACGCGACTTTACCGGAATGTATGCTAGCTCGATATACAATATTATCAGTCATACATTGACCGTTTATGGGACATTGATCCGAAACATGAATTTGCGAACTTTGTCTGCTATTTTGCGACCGTTATCGTCGCGTAGCAATCTTCTCTGTCAACATAACAGAATATCTTGACGCTGAATAACCACTCTGAAGTTGGCTCATGTGAGCCAAAAACTTAGATCAAGGGACAGCATAATAAAATATCCAAATGTTTGTCTTTATTTTTTAAGGAGTTTAGAACGGCCCATGATCAAACATAATAGGCATTCATTGTCTATTATAGTTACAATATAGATAGATAGATAGATAGATAGATAGATAGATAGATAGATAGATAGATAGATAGATAGATATGAAGAACAGACTGAGATAGATAGATAGATAGATAGATAGATAGATAGATAGATAAGAATAGACTAAGATAGATAGATAGATAGATAGATAGATAGATGCAAGCGGGAGAAGTACATCTGAAAAGAGCCATGATTGCCCACGCCCGGAAGATAGATATTAATATGCTGTGATAGATAGATAGATAGATAGATATGAAGAACAGACTGAGATAGATAGAGAGAGAGATAGATAGAAAGAAAGAAAGAGAGAGAAAGATAGGGTTGCGATGGTTAAATTGTCGCCATGTTATATTTTTAATTTCCCTTATTTTGCCGTCTACACAGTATAGTAGGGTCAGTTGGGCACCGTCTGTGAGAAAAGAGGTCACCATGACGCAATTCACTCCGCCAGAAATTTGGAAACAGCATGCTGTGCTGATTAGCATTCGCGCCAGAAACTCCAATACGAACATTTTAGAGTGTTTCGGTGTCAATCTGAGGACAGTGCATGGGATTCGGAAAGAGTCAGATGAGTCTAATAGTGATTACGAAGGTGTTTGTAGTGATCACTAGTGATGGCGACGTTATGCTTCCATTCATCTTCCCACAGTTCCTCAGACTAAACACAGAGGCCTACATAAAGTGCCTTGAGGAGTTAATGCTGACCTGGGTCAGGATGGTGGCTGCTGGAAGACTCTATATTTGGCAACAGGACACTGCACCATGCCACACTGGCCACCTAACCCCTTGATTATTATGTGTGGGGCGACAGGCTGTTTCATACTGGACGCAATCCTCAGACCGTCTTGACGATTGCGTCCATCATGAAACAGCTTGTCGTCTCTGAGTGTTGACTTCAATGTTCACTTTTATATCTATATTTACATACGCTCTATCTCTGATATTGATCACTTTAAATATAGCACAACTTAAAACTATATTATTTCTTCATATATATATATATATATATATATATATATATATATATATATATATATAGGTAAATATCCGCTGGTATAATAATCCAAATGAATCCTAATAATATAAAATCTTAAAACTGATCCACAAAGAGAGCTCAATGTACTTATTAAGACAGGGTATATATAAATTATATACAATAGGAATTCATTACAATAAGGTAATTTTGAATTCCTATTCTATGTAAATATATATATATATATATATATATATATATATATATATGAAGAAATATAGTCTTAAGATGTGCTATATTTATGGGATAAAGTGCTCAATATCAGAGAGAGAGCATGTGTAAATATAAAAGTGAACATTGAAGGCAACAATTAGAAGTGACAGCCTGTTTTATGCTCGACGCAATCGTCATTTAAACGACAATTTATCCATCGCACGCACTTTTATAATTATATTTACATATGCTCTATCTCTGATATTGAGCACTTTATCCCATAAATATAGCACACTTTAAAACTATATTTCTTCCCATATATATATATATATATATATATATACAGGTAAATATCCGTTGGTATAATAATCTAAGTGAATTCTAATCCTATGAATATATATATATATATATATATCATATATATATATATATATATATATATGAAACAGCCTGTCGCCTCTAAGTGTTGACTTCAATGTTCATTTTATATATATATATATATATATATATATATATATATATATATATATATATATATATATATTTGAAAAAATATATCTCCATCGTAAAACAGACATTACTATGTTTTGAAACTGAAACTTAAATCTTAAAATTTAACTTTAAAATTTGAAGCTCGATTCCATTCTGCTATGAATAACTTACGAAAAATTGGATTTACTCTATTTTTAAGTTAAGTTAGTTGTGTTAAGAGAATTCTCATTTTTTTTTTATTATTCAGTGGGTGTTGTGTGTCGAAAGCAAGTGTATATTTGTGTGGAAAACTTAAAGTCGGTTAAGGTGGGTGTGGGTTTATGATTTCTGTCTAGATACACTGACTTTCTTTCAAACTGTCAAATGATTACTGCCTGGTTTATTTTATCTTATTAAAGTTTTCGCTACAATATATTTGGTAATTTTTATTTATTTTTTAAGACTACATCGAGATTTTCTTAAAGGGGTTTTAAATATGATTAAGTCATATTTTTTATATTTTTATTTATACGTATCTAAAATACTATATTTATTTAATTTACTAATAGACTATATATGGTACTGTAAAATTAATATATTAGAATTTAATTACGCATTTATAAATTATTTAATTTATGATCAAATAATAGATATAAATATGTGAATTATTTTTTTAAATTAATTATTTTTAAGGAGTATATAAGACAATTTCTAAAAAAAAAAATACTGCTATTTAATTTTTTTGATTTAATAAATTTTTTATTTTTCAGAAACTTCATAATATATAATTTTTATGTAGGACATGGGTCATCCAAAGATCTACAAATTCTTGTTTACTATTTACATTATTCGGACTATTGTCCTCATCTTTGTCGCCATATTTATTACAACGTTTCGGCCGTTCTACGCTCCGGCCTTCTTCCGGTGTTTGGAATGTCGAATTGAACCCTTTTTTTTCGCTCACTGGGGTAGACTCTTCTAGTTCTACGTGCCATGTTTAATGGATGTCAGTTATCATTTATCTCCTGTTAATTCCCCTCTCCAAGTTCTGCACCGCCTTAACCAGATATTGAACTCTCAACTCTTTGGGTCCTCTCACTGGATCTAACCAACACCTTTATCCACTGTACCATGTGTCCTTGACAAAGATGTGGACAATAGTCCGAATAATGTAAATAGTGTACATAATACCTCGTCTCAGAAATATAGACAGAAATTCTTGTTTTGGGGGGGGGGTTATTATTAATTTCCATTTTACGGTTGGTGTTTTATTTGTTTCTCTTGCCAAAATATTTGGATAGGGATGTTTGGTTACGATACTTAATATTATTGAAGGAAGTCAAATCCTGTCTCCATCTTAATTTAACCCAAACTTAACCGACTTTAAATTTGCCTCACAAAGATACACTTGCTTTGTATATTCGTAAAAAAAGCCAACTCCTCCTTAATAAAAAAAAACAGTTATTCTCTTAACACCACCAACTTAAGAATAGAGTAAATACAGTTTTTTATAAGTTATTCTTAGCATCAGTTGAGAATGGAACCGAGCTACGAATTTTAAGTTTAAATTTTAAAGTTAAATTTTAAGATTTAAGTTTCTGTTTCGAAACAGTAATTTCTGTGTCGCGATGGAGACACATTTAAAAAAAATAATTATAATATTATGCTCTAGTTTGTATCTAGCACTGTTTTTTTTTTAAATAAAAATAATTGCTAAAGAACTCTGGATTATACGTCTGACTGTTCTTTCTTATTATATATACATATATATATATAGGAATTCAATATATATATATATATATATATATATATATATATATATATATATATATATATATATATATATATATTGAATTCCCTATTGTATGTATATATATATATATATATTCGTACGGATTGTTACCAGTTAAGTTGGTGTAAATTCATAAACACCGCTATTGTCCCGAGGACACTAACTATTTACCACACCCTTTATTTACAGCATTTGTTCGATACCTGTCACTTCACTGACAAGATTATCAAATTTAAAATTTAAATTTCTTATCCATTTAAGATACTACACTTACAAAATATATTCAATTTAAATACAGGAAGAGTCATAAAATGACTTTTCTTTTCCTGTTATCTTTATCAGTTTGTTTTATTAATGGTTGTCCAATACAAGGCCCAAGGGCCACTCAGGGTAGAGAGTTACTGAAAGTGGTTGTTGTGTGAGCGGTAAGAACAAAGGGTGCAGTTTATTCGAATATTTGTGACAGATAACGGTTAACCCTAGACTTGAAGAAGTTAAGATTGTGGTGGTCGAGAAAGTGCCCCTCCCAGAGATTCTGTTCCTCAAATGAACAGTTCTAAAGAAGAACCTATCCGTATGGATTTTGCTTCTTACTAATGAAATACGATAGAAACGATGATAGTCCGCCTCAATGTACGCGTTGTGGCAGGTTTTGGCTCGAGAATTTGAATTAGGAGAACTAAGGAATGTAACTTGTTTGGACATTTTCCATTGGAGGAGCGATAACAAAAGTTCTGTCTGATATTTGAGATGAAAATATTGAACAAAATTTATTCAAGTATTGTCTCTTCAAGTTGTTTAGTAATGCTACTATGAGTCATTTTTATATTATTATTTTTCTCGCTATAAGAATATTATTCACACGAGAGTTCGGAATTCTGATCTATGTTCGTCACAACTAAAGGACACATTAGAAATGTTTTAAACTATAAGTTTCTGAAAAGATATCAACCCAGGTGCAACAGCAACAGCCATCCAGCTCGCATATGGAGTCAATGCAATGAGCGAAAGAAGTTTTCTTTTTTCAAAATTTGGAATTCTAGTCTACAAGACAAGCCTAGTGTAGATCATTCAAAAGGGCTCAATTCGAAGAATTTCAAAGACTCTGTTACAGCAATTCCTGCCACCATAACGTTTTCAACTGACATGAAGGGAAAAGATTATATTGAATCAATTGCTAAGTCTGCAGCTAACAAAATTCATTCACTATGTCGTAGTAGATAATTTTTCTCTCCAGAATCTATTTTACATATTTACAAGTCTACCATTCGCCCTTGCTTTGAATATTGCTGCTACATCTGGTCTGGTGCTCCTACTTTATTTTTAAAGATTCTTGATAAAATCCAAAGAAGAATCTGCAATGTTATCGGTCCTGACCTGGCTTCTAGGCTTCAGTTCTTTTCCAACTGCCGTAATGTAGCTTCCCTGTGCATTTTCTATAAATACTTTCATGGTAATTGTTTTGATGAAATTTCCGCTATGGTACAAATTCCGCTATAGTATAAATTGTATGCATTTGTGAATATTTATTGGCGTTTCATTTTTAAGTATTGTTATTTTTATCCCCCCCCACCACCACAAACAGATTATATATATGGCAACTAGTTAGGACTACATAGAGACTTGAGGTATTACGGTGATTGTAGCAAGAATGGTAAGTAAGAATATGCTGTTTTGATGTAAGGAATACTGTGGTATGTTTGGGTCAGTAATTGTAGCTAACTAAATTTAAGATAAGACAGATTAAAGATCAGCTTTTCTCTATCCCCACCTTTGACCTTGTGCCACATTTTCGTATTATTCGAAATAAATAATACCTACCGCTATCGTACCTTGACTTTATGCATCTAAGAACAGTAGTAGTTTGAGGGCAAGGTCTCGTCATTTTACAGTTTAAATGGCTAGATGAAACCG